ACTACATCACATGAATATAAATCAGAAGGTGGTAAACTTTTCCTGTAAATGGCCAGGGTAAATATTTTATTTTATTTTATTTTATATTTTTGAAATTTATTTATTTTTGGCTGCATTGGGTCTTCATTGCTACGCACAGGCTTTCTCTAGTTGCACCGAGTGGGCGCTACTCTTCATTGCAGTGCGCAGGTTTCTCATTGTGGTCACCTCTCATTGCAGAGCACGGGCTGTAGGTACACGGGCTTCAGTAGTTGTGGCATGTAGGCTCAGTAGCTGTGGACTACGAACTTAGTTGCTCCAGCATGTGGGATCTTCCTGGACCAGGGATCGAACCCGTGTTCCCTGCATTGGCAGGCGGATTCGCAACCACTGCACAACCAGGGAAGTCCCAGGGTAAATAGTTTAGATTTTGTAGGTCAAGAATCTCTGCTGCAACTACTCAACTCTGCCCTTAGAGTATGAAAACAGCCACAGACAATTTAGACAATACGTAAACAAAGGAGAATGATTGTGTTTCAATAAAACTTTTTTTGTTTATAAAAACAGAAAGCTGGGTGTATTTGGCAATTGGTGTCTTAGTTTGCAGATCCTGATGTGGAGAAAGATTGTCCTTTAATTAATATTAAAACACTACTAGTTTCCAGTGACTAATTTTCCTTAATTTAAATATATGCCACTTAAACAGGATTTTTCTTTATATAGATATATGCAAAATCTTTCATAAAATGCAGAAATGTCTTAGAGGTACCATTATATTTCAGGGAACTTAAACAATAGTCAGGACATCTCGTACAGTACAGCTCAGTCTGCAAACAGCTGTTATGTTCTAAAATTCTCTCATGATTAAATTCTCTCTTGATTAAATAACACGTATTTCACATCTCATCACATAGTCAGTGGAGGTTAACATTCCTCTCTTTCAAAGTGATTTTATTGGATTTTCTTTTTTTTTTAAATTTCATTTTGTTAAGCATCTTGTTTTATGCTTAAAAATGATGTGTGCTTTACATTTTCAAGAGATGGTTGGTCAGAGTCTTATTTGTCTTTATGTAACTATAACCTTGAACACAATGTCTTGCAAAAGGAAAAATGATAGATGACTGATAGGTAGATAGATGGATAGATAGATAGCTGAAAAGCCAGGGGTCAAGAGGGATAATTTTACCTTTCTGGGGTTGTACTTCTGAATTCCATTATTATAAAGTTTTTATGTATTACCAGTTACTAAAATACTTTTTTTTATAGAATGGGACTTTTGTTATTTATGTATTATTCAATGTCAATTTCCTCTATCATGGGGTTTGTGTAGTTTAACCAAACAAAATTATTTCTTAGATGCAGAGCTACAGAGTAAGTTCTGCCCACAGGAAATAAAAAAAAATAACAAAACAAAACAGAAAATAAAAGAAGAAAATATAGATATATGAACAGAAACATTTTAATTAGAGCAAATCAATGGCTACTGCAACTAGACTTCAGAAGGTAAATCTTCTAAGACCATACAAAATGTTGCCGTATTCAATAGAATGTTTCTTTACTAGGAGCCAAGTTTTCTGAGTTTAACAAAAAAGGATTTTGCCATTGTTTGAAATATATGGATTAACTAGTGTTTTACTGTCATTTTTATTGTTATTCATTTTATTTTATCTTCTATTTATCATTGTGATATATGCTCACAATTTCAAAAAAAAAGAAAAGAAAATACATTAAATTGGACAATTAGAAAAGAATACCATCTAAAAGTCATTCACAGAAAAAAATTTTTATTTTCAGCTTTTTAAAAAGCTATTTTACATACATGTCTATAGTGAATACTGTTGATTGCCAACTAGATTCAACAATCTAACCTTGATTAGCTGACATTAATCTATTTACCAGGTAGTTCTTACTCCCAGGTGCAAGAATGGCTTAATGGTTCTAAGCTTTTCTCTTTGGCATAATTTGTTCAGATATGGACAAATGATTTTATTAGTCAATAAGGTAAAAGTGGAGTGTTTGGGACACTCTTGGGGAAACACTTACTTACTCTTAAGCACCAGAGGAGAGCAAACAGACCTGGAAAACTGATTGCAGTGTGAAACCACTGGATCCAACTAAACCTAAGCCTATTTCATTTTTCTATGTATGTTCCACATTTCTCCAAGGTTTAATCCATTATTTAAACTTTAATTTGTATTGTTGTTTCTATGGCAGCCAAAAGAATCCTAATTGATACTGTGACATACAGTTAATACATTTCTCAATTATTTCTATCTTAATACATTATGAGTCTTTCCAAAACCGTTCATGAATATAATTTTATTATAATACTAATGTATTATTATAATAAATAATAAATAATAGTATGCTCCAAGACTGTGATGATCAGGATGTAGACCTTAAATTCTACCATCCAGACCACAGCTGATTACAGCCTTTATATCTAATTAAAGTCACCTTGATCATCTATGCTGTGATGTAGGTAGACCTAAACTTTATGAATGAAGTTTTATCTCAAGGGATGGGTCAGAACTTGAATAACATTTGGCTTTTGTCCTCTGCCTGCTGTTAGATCTGAAGTTCATTAGCTGGTCCAGTCTGCGGCTAGTCAATGGATTTACATTCCTTAATTATCTTCTTTTAAAAAAGAAACTGATGGCTCATCAGAGCATTGATGAATTGTACTATTTTAATTTAAATCTTTATTTAGATTGACTCAATTCAATCCTGGCTTGAATGCTTCTAAAACTTCATGCTCTTTTCATCAGCCTGCTGGCAGATGACATTTGTAGAATTCCCCCAGATTGCATGTGAAAGCTGACAGTTGTTTACTAGAATGTTTCTGTGTAGTTATGAAACAGCGTCTGTGTCACAGGAATTGTCCACCCTGCCTTACGTTTGTTCTATGGTGTGGAGACCTCCAATAACCCGTAGTGTAATGGCTTTGGCTCTCCTATGGATAGTGCTGTACTTAATTCTGAGACTCTCCATTCTTATACAGTCATGTTCCGTGCACTACTTCTTTTCCCTCACACTCCTGAAAAAGACTTTTCTCCTGATATGAGGAAAACGCACTAGAAGTAATCCCTAAGCTTATTTGATGACTAAGCTTATTTGAGCTTATTTGAGTCCCCTCAGTCCAGCCAAGTCTACATTCTTGGTTTTGGCATACCTGTAGAGACTTGCTGGATTCCAGCCTATCTGTCCCACAGGGAGGACAAGCATTTTTTAGTAATTTATAGTACTTTGTGCTATATTAAAATCAAATCTAGTTGGTCACTTTACATGTGTTTTATGACAGCTCTTCCCTTAATGAAATCAAAACTTGCTGTTAATGGTATTCTACGTAAAATATATAGTTTCAAACTGTACCTTCTTTAGAAAGTTTAATACTGTCTCAGTGGATTTCCTACAGTCCTGATTGTCCTTTTAGTGGTATTATAACAATCGGTGTAGAAAATGCTGATCCACACTTGTTCTCTTTTGCCTTAAGATAAGCCCTCAGGACATCTTGTGGCACCAGGCTGTCAGGTTGAAAAAGTGTAATTGCAGTTCAGAGTGGATCTGGATACTGTATCAAGGCAGGAAACAATACTCCATAAGATGTTAGATCCTTACCCAAACACTAGAACATGGATGAATCTAGAGAACATTATGCAAGTGAAATGAGGCATTCACAGAAGGCTATATTGCATGAGTCCACTTATATGAGGTGTCTTAATTTGTCAAACTCAGAAGCAGAGGGTAGAATGGAAGTTGATGGGGCCTGGGGGCAGGTGGAAATGGGGAGCCGTTGTTCAATGGGTATAAAGTTTCTGTTATACAAGATGAGAAAGTTCTAGAGATCTGCTGTACAATGTTGTGCTGCTAGTTTACAAGACTGTACTGTGCACTTTACAATTTGTCAAGAGGGTAACTCTCATGTTAAGTGTTCTTACCACAATTAAAATTTTAAAAATAGCTCTTGGGAAAAAACTTATTTAACATATTCTTGTTTGGTTTTGCCACAGGGTACAGAGGTATCTAACGTCTATTTATTTAGCAAATGGTAACAAATGAAATTTGGTTTTTATGAATTGAAAAACGGAGTAAGCATGAATCAGACGTCATGTAATCTATTTAGTTCTCACTAACGTTGGTTGTAATCTTTTTCCTACTTTCCTTCCACTGTTATGATAAAAAATACAATGAACATGTATATACTCCCGATATTGTAGGACTCAAGTATATTTCTGAAATTTGAAGCTGTCTCCTCACAATAATTGCATATGTAAACCATAAAAATATTAAATTTTATATACATCAATCATAGTGTTAGACACTGTTCACATTTTTTTTAACCTCTCTCTGATTTGGTTAAAAGATGATTTTTAACTAAAAACAACTTGAGTAAACAGTGGAGTATAATATTATATATTTCATAATAAATAACTATAACAAATTCTAATTATAAATTTAATACAATAACTATATTTAGGTAATGCATAAACCAAGGAAAAGAAGAGGATTATAATTTAGACATTGCCCTCTCTTTCTGTATTTTACTTTATTCCTGAATAGAAAGACTGAATTAAGGAGCAGCCAGAAGGCATAGACTCACAGTTAAAAAGCTTTTCTCTTTGTAGTAACTTCTGTGCCCGGTTTAAATTGATCATTTGTTTCATCAGCTAATCCCCAAGTAGAGGGCATGTCCTTTCCACTTGCAGAATTCTCTTACATAAGTTGAATTCCCTCCTCATCACCTCAAGCCAATAAGTACTTTATTTTCTTTTTGGTTGTTGTTAGCAAAAAAGGGTGAAAAAAATCAGCTCATGCTACTTGCTGGAGCTGTCTGCATATTAATCCCAGACTATGAACGGACATCAGAATGCCCTTATGATATTTTGCACAAAGGCTCAGTGTTCATGGCTCTGCTCAGAGAACCCAAAATAGCATTCAGTAAGCAGTGACATACTGAAGGTCTTGGTACTAAAAGCACAAGCGTCTGTAACTCAGAGCAATGCGGCACATATAAGGTTTGATGAGAAGCCTGTGAAACAAAATCGGGACAAACTCTCCTACTATTCCTCATGTGTTTCATGTGAATTTTGAATTTGTTTCTGCAGAGCTTATTGAACTTGAAGATACACAGGTAAGAATGTGATAATCAGGCATGTATTGATTATATAAATTAACTCAATGAAAATAGGGCCAAAAAGTACTTGAAAAACTCTGCTAATTTGCACTTCATAAGGAAAATTTCCTAAAAATTTTAAAACTTGACATGTGCATTGAACATTCTCTAAAACAAAAATCAGTTTGCCATCTCTACAGTTCAGATTGAGGAAAATAAAAGTTGCTTATATCTAGAAAATTTAAAACAAGTTTCTTGGGAGGAATGTAGCATTACTGCTTTTTTTTCTTTCTCCAGGATTTTGTTTCTTAAGTTTTTTCTGTATTTACCTCTCTACTGTCAGATGCTATGAGCAGTAAAGTTATCAACCTTAAAGATATGAGAAAAATATTTATTTATAGAGTAAATATTTTTAAAACAATAAATTATTTATTTCTTAGTAAATGATATTCTGTATGGAGCTTTTCACATATGTCAATAAAACTATATGTTTCTTTGAAGGACAATCTATTATTAAAGTTGACATAATTATTTTATTTTCTTCCTCTTTGCCAGGTTTTTTTGGCTATCAAACTTTCTATTGACTTTCAAAATTTCTTAGAGTGAAAAAGTTTAAGTAATTAAGAATGTTACAAAAATACTACTAAAAAAAGTAAACTATTGAGCATATTATGAATACAAACACATATTAATTTGTGATCTACTATATCTATTACATGTACACATATTAATTTGTAATCTATTATATCTATTACATGAAGAAGGCTAATTCATCAAATATGAAATTACACAAAACTATAAATTAAGCAATGCAAACTGTGAAAGGCATTTATTATTGTTTCAATTCTAGTTCATTACAAATAATTTTAATCGGGTTACTAATTTTAATAAAATATTTCAATGTAAATTTGCCAAAGGGATTTAGTAAATCAGTAACTAGCATATGAAATAACACCTGAAGAGATTAACAACAAAGATACATAAATAGAATGGCAAACTCTTCTTTAGATTATATAAATTTATAGTTTAGCTCTATAAGTTTATTTTTTAATTAATATACCCAGAGAGAAAACATTATTTATTTAAAATATTTGCAACTTTATATAATTATAATATATAATATATAAAAATTTATATATTAATATATATTTATATTTTGGATGTATTTGCAATATGAAGTAATGTAATAAAATAATATACATTTATATAATATTGTTTATTTCAAATTCTAAATACTTTAAATGTCTAAATATCACTAGCATGCAAATATATATACTTAAAATTTTTAATTTGAAAATATTTAAATTTCAATATAATCTGAACATTTCTGTTTACCAAATTTTGTAACCAGTAAAAATATTTCCCAAAAGGAATAAACATTACAAAATTAGGAGTCTAGAATTATTTAATCTTTTAAAATAGCCAGTTTGTGAAATCTAGAAATCATTTGACCTCTTATTTTTTATATGTGTTTTCTACTTTACCAAAGTGTTTAACAATGACTGAAATGAATCAGATTATTCTGTAAATTATATCTTCCTTCTACGTTTTCAATTTTTTTTTTTTTTTTTTTTTGGCTGCACTGCATGGCCTGTGGGATCTTAGTTCCCCCACCAGGGACTGAACCCATATCCCCTGCAGTGGAAGCACAGAGTCTCAACTACTGGACCTCCATGGAAGTACTATGGTTTCAATTTTAGTATTTTCTTTACTTGTGCCCTTTTATGCTTAAACCCACACACACGCTTTCACACAATTTGTAGAAGTCTTAAAGCATATATTACATAAGTATATTTTTTTTATTTTGTTTCCCCCATTGAAATATTTCTAAGGTACTTATCTCCAGGAAATTTTAAAAAATAATTCAATTAAATTATCATAAGTTGAAGATGTTTTAAAATGATGTGCACAAATTCCTCCCATGCATTCTTAAGAAACCTGACCCATCTTTCAGAAATTTGTCATAATGTAGTACATATAATTTGATAAATAATAATCAGTAGCTAAATATAAATTGGTAGTAAATTTTTTGCCAGTCATGCTCTTAACATGTACCCTTTAAATAGTATGTTATATTTAAAGTCTTATAGTATAGTATTTAACATGTTATTGAATACTAATGCAATAGGAATAAATGTATTACACAGTTTAAAAGAACATATTGAGCTTTTCATATATCTTTATTTAGATTGGGATTTATTGCTACTGACCTAATATTTGAGAACCATGCTGATGAACATGGGAAAATGGAACTTTTATATTTTGTTGTCATGATGACTTTCTTTAATAACCATGATCTTCGAATACCTGTATCTTTGCTTTGGCATAACAGATGAAGGATGAAACATAAACAAATATGGAACTTAATAAAGCATATGAATCCTTTCTTTCTTGCCGTGCTGGTGACAGCTCGCAAATTTGACAAATGAATGAGTTACTTTTTCCATAGTGACAAGAAACATGTTTGACCCTTTTTTTAAAGACCTATACCACTAGAGAGTTTTGTTGCCACCACTCAATTAAAAGAATTCAGCTAAAATGCTCTAAAACCCACCTTTTCACAACTTACAGCAAATCAATTTCTTTTTGAAATGTTGCATGTCCTCTTGAATATTCTGATGTGATTCAGTAAGACAACTCTTGTCTCACATTAAAAACGCCTCTAGAATTAGTAAAGTAGAAATGTTTTTGTCAGAAATTTGTCGCATTAATTAGTACTCAATAAAAGACATTCAGAATCATCAAAAAATGTCTTAAAGCAAAACATAATTTTTCAGGGACTCTGCTTTGGCATATAAAGTCAAGTTTGAGATGTTATTATAGAACAGTGACTTATCAACATACAAGATCAGTACATTTACATTTTATCTGTTCCTTCCTTCTAAGAACTTACTTGATAAATGAATTTTGTAAATTAGCAGTGTAATATATTAAAGTGGGAGTAATTTTGACACATTAGTTATGGCTAAAAATAACCTAGGTAATTTTCTCTAAGTGCAAAATTTAGAAATGTTCCTGTGGAAATGAGAAAATTACGCATAAATCATGGGAACGGAAAATGCCACCATTTTTCTGCCTTTAAGTTGGATTAAAGCTAAATTGTTTTCGAGAGTTTGCCATCTATTTTATTTTTAAAAATCTCAAGTGGAGTATCTATGACCTCCTTTTATAAAAAAAATTTTTTTATTGAAGTACTGTACAGCAAAGTGATTCACTCTTTTTCATATTATTTTCCTTTATGGTTTATCACAGGATATTGAATATAGTTCTCTGTGCTGTACAGTAGGACCTTGTTGTTTAGCTATTCTCTATATAATAGTTTGCATCTGCTAATCCCAAATTCCCAATCCATCCCTCCCGGACCAATCCTCCCCCTTGGCAACAAGTCTGCTCTCTGTATCTTTGAGTCTGTTTCTGTTTTGTAGATAAGTTCATTTGTGTCATATTTTAGATGCCACATGTAAGTGATATCATATGGTATTTGTATGACCTCCTTTGATAAAGAGATAATACCACCAAATTCAGACACAGATATAAACTATAACTAGAACACTATAAAAGATAGAAAAGAAAAAGATAGGGATGAATCTTCTGTTTGAAATTTTAATGGTATTTTTTGTCATTAAGCAAATACTTCTTGACAGTTCTTGGAGTTGCTCTTGAATTAGTGAAGCAAAATATAACTCTTTCCCCAAAGTGTTAGATGAAAAATAAAAGGGCCACGCTGTAATTTTTTAATTGGATGTAAATCCCCTTCTTCTAATTTGGACTTTTGTCTTGGGGCTTTTTAAAACATCGTTGCTCTTTGGTCATTTTCTTTGGTCATTTTCTTTGGTCATTTTCTGTCCTTAACCAATGTCTACTAACTATGCCAATTCTACAGGCATATCAGAATTTGACTCCAAATTTATTGGTTAATAATAAATAAGCATATGTGTTTCTATACATGCATACCCATATATACATATACACACATATGTGTGTATATATATTTATCTATGGTCAAATTTCAAATTTACATATATACTCATTTAATAATTTTAAGCCCACACAAATTATTTGTTAAAATACTGTGCCATGTTAGAGTGCAGATTTAATAAAGTCACTTATATGAAATTTAAACTGGCTTTTTAAATTATAGTTTCTGTGCAATATTACATAAGTTACAGGTGTACAATATAGCGATTCACAACTTTTAAAGGTTATACTCCATTTATAGTTATTATAAAATATTGGCTATATTCCCCATTTTGTACAATATATCCTTAGAGCTTATTTTATGCCTAATAGTTTGTACCATTTAATCTCCTGCCCCTATATTTTCCCTCCCCCCTTCCCTCTCCCCAGTGGTAACTACTAGTTTTTTCTCTATATCTGTGAGTCTGCTTCTTTTTTGTTAATTTCACTAGTTGTGTATAATTTTTAGATTTCACATATAAATGATATTGTAGAGTAATTGTCTTTCTCTGCCTGACTTATTTCACTTAGCATAATGTCCTCCAAGTCCACCCATGTTGCTGCAAATTTAAATTATTTTAAAGGTGTGAAACAGTGCTGTCATTGTGTGTGTATACACGTGTGCATATATGTATATTCCATATATACATAGGATTTTTTTAAACCAACGTTTAAAACACACAGTTCTTAACTCATAAGAATAATTTTCATGAGGTATGTGACATTGTATTATAATGATACCACTAAGCTTTTGTTTTGTAGGGAAAAAAGGACAAGCAATACATGTTTAAGGCTATATGTATATGAGTTAAACATTACAAATCTTAGTAAGATATTAATTAGTTCCTTTCTACATATTACAAAACAATTATAAGGGTTGCCAGGGTTTTTAAAAAATTAGGTAAGGAATTATTTCATGTAAGAACATCATCCCTTTCCACAGAATACATGAACTCTCCCTACCCGTTGACAGGTTGGAGTGTCTCATAGTGCACATAACTTAAATTTTTAGGAAAAACAGAGACACTTATTCCCTCAACAATTCAGTCATTCAGCTTCTACATTAATATTATACTGAATGAGGGAATTCCCTGGCAGTCCAGTGGTTAAGACTTTGCCTTCCAATGCAGGGGTTGTGGGTTCAATCCCTGGCTGGGGAGCTAAGATCCCACATGTCTTGCAGCCAAAAAACCAAAACAGAAGCAATATTGTAACAAATTCAATAAAGACTTTAAAAATCGTCCACATAAAAAAATCGTAAAAAAAAAGTTATACTGAATGCTTCTACATTAAGCACTAAAAAAAAGCATCTTTATCTTCCCTGGTATCAATTACAAAGGAATAAAAAATTTAAGTAAGATATCCTATTTTACTTTTTAAATCAATTTTGCATCTCAAATGAACTATATTCATGATGATTTTCCTTCCTTAAGTCTATGTATTTTTAACCCATCCCATTTCTTGGAGGTACATTTACTGTTTTATATATTTTAAAACATCTATTACTTATCTTGAAGGAGTGTTTGTTTAAAAATATTTTGTACTGGGCTTCCCTGGTGGCGCAGTGGTTGAGAGTCCGCCTGCTGATGCAGGGGACATGGGTTCGTGCCCCGGTCCGGAAAGATCCCACATGCCGCGGAGCGGCTGGGCCCGCGAGCCATGGCCGCTGAGCCTGCGTGTCCAGAGCCTGTGCTCCGCAATGGGAGAGGCCACAACAGTGAGAGGCCCGTGTACCGCAAAAAAAAAAAAAAAAAAAAAAAAAAAATTTGTACTAAAATATAGATATATTCTCACTTCCTTTAAAAACATGTACTTTGAAATGTACATTCCATATTAGGACCCAGAATTTCTTATAATTTTTATCCAACTTTTTGTGAGTAAATATTGTAATAGTAAACTCTTTATAAACTTTTTTATTTCAGTTTTGAAGTTGATTTGAGTAAGTGTTATCTTAACACATGGAATATTCTGAGAGATTATTTGAAGTTCCTGAATTTATTGTTTAACTCTAAAGTCATAGCAAAGCATAAACAGTGGTAATTCATTATTATTATTTACTTATATATTATCATTCTTAATAATAAACAGAATTTATTGAGTGGTTACTTTGGTGCTTGGTTTATTTTTTTCTTTGCAGCATCTTTGCTTATTATTGCTCATTTAATTGTCCTACAAATGGGCTCTCAAACACTGTAATTTCTATCTTAAAAAATTCTTCATTAACTCTAAGCCCCCTAAGGCAGAGACATATCTCTGCTTTCCATCTATTTGCAACTACTCTGAGAGACACATCTACTCTTGGGACTCAATTCTTGACCTTTAGTCACTCTTCAATCCACTCTTTTCTAACTGTTGAGAATCACTTGTAAAACTTCTCTTGAGCTATTCATCAAGATGCACCAGTTTTTGTTTTTAATTAATGAATGGTATAAGAAACAAAATCTGGACACTTAGGGTGCATATTAATGCTGGTAATAGGTAAATTTTTGCTGATATTGTAATGGTCTCTTTTAGTGGCACTTTAGGAAAGATATCTATTTTTCATGCTCATTTGTTAATACTGATTTTTCTAATTAAATACAACTCACTATCAAACTCTACTTTCCTGATAGCATATAGTTTTTCTACTACAAAACTATGCACTGTCATTGTCATAATTCTGTCCAACCTCTTTAAACATTTGACTAAGTGTAGATGTCAAAAATTACTCAACTAGCTTCAACAATTAGGTTTCCAAATTCTTCACACAATAAACAAATGCATTGCACCAGAATTTTCTAAATGTCAGTTTCTTTCTGTAGGATAGTTTCAGACCTGAGTTTAGTAGATTAAATGGTCTGAAATCTTTAACACTCCTGAAAGATATTTTCTAATTTCAAAATATCATTCCAATTTATTTTGCTGGTATGAGAAGCAACTAATAACAAGAAATTGTGGTTTAGGAATTTAGAGGTTGTAGGAGATTAGTGCATATCTTTGAAAGATTTAACAGGTAGAATTGACCATAGATGAAGCCTGAATATATATGAGAGGTAAAGTGAAGAAAATATTAAAGGGGAATTTTTATTCAACTGAGAGTTTCTGAGTGGAACCTGGTTTCATTCAGTGAAAGAAACAACATAGTGATGATGTGGAATGGGGGATAAAAGATAATTATTTCTGTGTGAGACATGGACATTGAAATGCCTCTTGGAAAATAGGTTTGTAGATCAGGAAAGTGATATATATGGACTATTGAGATTGCTTTGTGATGCTTCAGGATATAAATATTAATTGAAGCTATAAAACCAGGAGATAAACATGAATCAAATGAACAAAAAATTCCTTAAGAATGCAACTCCATAATTTAAGAAATAGGACAGTAAAATGAAATAGAGATTCCTCAGACAAAAGAGAACCACAAACGTGTATGGAGTTTTGCAAACCAAAAAAGGGAGATTTTTGAAAAGGATGTGTGGTTATGGTGCAGGCAACAATGTGCCATGCCACTGTGAAGTTAATTTAAAAAAAATAAATAAAAGTATTTATTAAATTTATAGAAAGAAATAAAGGGGATCCCTTTTGACCTCAATGGATTGGTTGCATTGTACAGTACTATTGGCGGAAAAAAACAGACTGCATTTTTCTGTAGACTGAATGAGAGACCATGAAGACAGTAAATGGACATTTATCCTGTAATAGTATTTCCCCTCCATTTTCTTTGAGATTTACTTGTGGATGCTGTGCCTTTTGAATTAACCCTCTAATTTCCTGATCTTTTCTATCCAAGTTTCTAGATCTATGCCTTGTTATTCTACTTCCTAAGAGATTTTCTCAAATTTATCTTTTAACCACCCTCCACCTTTTAAAAAACTAGTCATGAAATTGGATTTCACTAGATTTTTTTGGCAATGACTCAGGTGATTGATTTAGATATCCCCAACTATCATTACAGCTTTGTACTTGAGGATATATGTTTCTTTATTAAAGAAAGTTGATAGGCAAGTAGATAGATTTCAGTTTACAAGTTCATGGAATCAACTTTTCTAAATCTATATTTAGATGTGACAATGGTACTATAAGGTAATGGTTTTAGCCTTCTGATTCTATCTCTAAAGTGTGTTAGGTCTTGTCACTATTTATAGTACGTTTCTACTTCAAAACCTGACTTTTCACATAATAGAAACTGCATACGTTAGCTTTGGGTGTATAAACCTGAAATCATTTGTATACAGTCTGCAGCAAATATTTCCTATTTTTTGTTGCCCTGTCTTGAAAGGAGTTCTTTCCTCTATGATTTAAACAACATTAATGTTGACAGTTACTCCTTTGATTTTTTATTCCTGTGGTAATGGGGACTTACTAGTGATTCTCTTATGCACCCTAAGGATGGATTAATTAGAGGGTTACGAAGAAATCTGTGATTATAAACATTTAAATAAATGCCATGTTTATGGCATAATAATAACTAATTTTATTGCACATTTAATATGTTCCAGGTGCAGTTCCAGTTCTTTTTAAATGACATCACAACATACATAGAAGTCAGGTATGTTATCTCATTTTACAATTGGAGAAACTCAATCTGAGAGTGTTTAAGCACCCTGATTAGTACCATGCAACTCTTGTATCTATATATGTACAAATCTTTACATTTTATACAGATTTTCCTTAATAGTTAGCATTAATTTAATATTAAATGAAGACTTAAATAAGTAATATAATTAAGAAAAAGAACCAGATGGATATTATATGGTTTATTTGATTTAATTCTTTACTTCATGTCATACATTTATGTACTATTATGTATCCTCAACCTTTATTATTTATAATAACCATCCATTCTAGATATAATTTGGCAACCAGAAAGTTACTACTACATGATCAGGGCTTTACGGTAAAAGTCAGTCTGAGAACCAGAGCAGACTATTCTCTTGAAGAGAAGGGAAGCAGGATAAAGTGGGGGATGTGGATTTGGAACATCCAACATGGCCATTTGGTGCTCCTCTACCTTGCAGAACAGTCTCCAAATAGGTGTTTATGTAACATAGGGCATACACAAGACCGTCAACTGAGCTGTGGGAAAATATAAGAAATTCTATTTGTATTGATGTTTTATCTCATTCTTTTGCATTTCAATTTTCAGTGTGATTTATAAAATATCTATATAGTGGTAAAAGTTGTAGAAGTAAATGATTAGTATATAAATATACAACAAATATTGGAGACCACCTTCAGCAATTTTTTTCTGATAGGAGTATAAAATATGAAAGTTCAGAAACCACTGCTCTAAAAATAAACCTTGGCCAATATCTGCACACATATTTCATTTCCAAAATAGCATCCATATTCCAGAATCCTGCAACCACATTGGTTAAATGTACCCACTCAGAAAGAAACAAGCTCTCTGGATTTAACTCCAATCCCACCAATTATTATATGGCTAAACAAAGCTAGTTAACCTACATATGTTCATTGTCTGCATTTATAAAATAGCAACATTAAAAGAAAATATACCATAGAATTGTTGTAAGACAAATTAATTAAAGAATGGCATACTCTTTGTATAGTTATAATCATGGAGTAAGTCCTCAATACTTGTTAGACAAGATGATGATGATGATGATAATGATAATGATGATGGTAGTGTCCTCAGACTATTTGCCTTAGAATCACCTATAGTGCTTGTTAAAAATACCTAACTGGTGAATCAGAAGCTATGGAGTGGAAAATCTACATTTTATCCAGAGTAGAATAAGATGTGTAAATCATTTCCCACAAATAGAGGGATGGAACTAACCAAGTTACTGTTTACTTTATACATTTAAGGATCAAGGGATTCTCTTCATGCATAGTAAAAATTTTAAAGTAGAAAAAATGTAATCAGCTCCAACATAAAATAATAACAGTATTGTCACGTGTTCAGAGTTTAAACTAATCATTATTACTACTATTGTCAAAAAAGTGTTTTTGCTGAAATGCTTTTAATATTTCACCCAGTTCCTGAGAATCTGACACTATATGATTCTATGATACTATTTTATGAATTTTAAAATTTTGCATTGATCCTATACACACACAGACACACTCACACAAGCAAAATACAGGGTATATGACTTTAAACTCTTTTTTTCATTCACTATGATTTGGGCCTTTAAAAAAATCATGTTTATATTATGCCTTTTTCAATAACAGAATCATATTTTCCACACCATTTAGAAGTGGTGCTTACGAAGTATTGCTTTTGATGGTAGAATAAATTTATAGATATTATAGTTGTAAAGATGTACTGAAAACAATTGATAATTGGAGAAAGAAACATTTTTTGGATATATTTGACTAGGCTTTATTGAGCTACTAATACAACATCAGCAAAAATTGTCAAATAGAGTACAACTGTGTCTTTATTTACAATACTATAATAAGAAGTGGCTAAAAAGATTTTCAACAAGTGAAAACCAAAATAATATCTTTATAATGGAAATTGAGGACAAAATAAATAACTGTAACAAATTCTTCGGAGAGTAGAATATATTGTTCGTAAGAAGAAAAATATTTTTTTCCTTTGTCTTTTCTTTATAGTGACATATATGTTCAATTTAACAGATATCATTTATGTGATGAAAATAATTAACTGATAATGTTTTATAATCATGCAAAACAATGTTTTAGGTGAAAAATGCCTAAAACAATAACTTTGTGTCATTCTAAGATTGTGGAATTTTTGACTCAAAATATATGTTAACTGATGGTTTTGTAAAACTGCTATGATTTATTTCATGGTTCATGAAATCTTCAAAAGTGTACCTTATTCATCAATGGTTGTTTAAAATTTTTACTTTGCTAAATTTGTCTTTTAGTTTTTCTTAGCATTGAAAATCACTCTTTGTTAGTTATATACTATCTGAAAGCTGTGAATTCATTAGGATTAGATAATAAAGGAAACCTGGAATATATGTTATATTTTCTAATCAATATTTCAGTGGTTTATCTGCATGCATTACACTTTAGTCTTCACCCTGTATAAATTCCATACACACATGCAGACACACACACACACACACACACACACACACACACACACACACACAGCTGGAGCCTGGCAATAAACACAACGTTCTATTTGTTTAGATACAATTTGTGTGTGTGTGTGCATAATGCAACTTTGATTAGTTCTAGTCATAAAAATGAAAAATCAGTTAAATCCAAAGAATTGTAAAGAGAGTGTCTACTTGGGACCAATTAACAAGTCCACTCTCAAACAACCTAAGATAGTCATCCAAATCATAAGAGTTCCTCAATTTATATAGATAAGATATTCCAATACCAAACCAGGACTGTCTAGAGAAGAAATAGAATAATTTTGCATATGATATTACCTGGAAAATATCATATGCTATATATCCTATATATCTTTTAATGTATATTCTATATAAAATATTTATACTACCTACACTACATCATATTGTCATGTATAATATTTTATATAATACAAATTTACATTACATATTGCTTTCTATATATATTATAAATATACACATATATATACAAAGTTGTTTGTATATATTAGCGATACAAGAGTGCCTCAATATTACTGAATCTATTTATTCTGTGAATTATCAGATCAGACTAAAAGAAAGAAACCATGTGTTAATCTCAATTCATAATCTCAATTTTAAAAAGATGCATATTCATAACAAAATTTCTTTGAAAAGTAGAAATGGAAAGTAACTTATTTAGCCTTCTAAGATATATACAACAAATTCGACAATATATAACCACTTAATGTTTAAACACTAACAGCTTTCCCATGTGAAGACAGGGAAAAAAGTGAGAATTTTGTGTCTGTGTGTATGTGTGCATGTTACATACTTTTAAATTATTTCTTATTTGGCATTGTTGAAATAGGTGAGCCTTTGCTGCCCATTGCATCCTGTGTGGCCCTAATTTTTTAAATTTTCCTCTCCTGCACTCAACTTAAGCATGTGGTTACAGGCTCTGGGATTGAAATTGAAAGTGGAAATCTATAGGACTGAACATACAAGTGTCCATTCATAATAATTCTACTCATTCTTTTTGAACCAAATAAGCTGAATTGAATCCATCAGTAAGGTAATCATTAGGAGGTTATGATTTAGGAGTTGGGTTAGTGCTCAGAGGAAGTGTGGTTAGAAAGGAAGAAATAGAATTACTATTACTCATACAGAATAAAAGAACAATTAAAACTAATAGGAGAGTTCAAAAAATATGCTAGATTCAAAAGAAGAAAAATATTATCATCAGGCCAAAAAGGTTAATTGTTAAATTGGTGTAACCTAAATGGCAAAAGAAACTCTAAAGTATTAAGGAATGACTATCATATAAATGGTCAAAGTCTTAATGGAAAAATATAAAAGAAAAACCGTATTGAAATATTTTTTAAAAACCTGAATAAATGATGAGATGCTTAAAAATGGAGAAAATATTCAACATGTAAAAGATAGAGACAAACTTTTCCTTAATGAATCTATAAAATCAAGAAAATTTCAACCACATATTCAGATTTTTTCATATAACTTTAGAAGCTAATTTTAAAGTGTATACAAAATGCTAAAGAACCATTTGAAGAAAAAAAAATATTAGTACCAGTAGATCTAGATAGATATAATATAGTAATACATATAAATATAATATTTAAAAGTGTCATTAGTCTACAAAGAAAAGAGAGCCTTTAACTTAGTCCATAACAAATGTGACATTATAAATTTATTAGGCAATTATGGGTTAACAAAAATAATGTTCTGAGAATTACCATTTATATGATCAAAGGTAAAGTTGATTCCTTAACTCAAACGAAACAAAAATAAAAATTTCCATGTGAATTAATGAAAAGTACTAAGTGTGAGACACAAAACAGGAAATTTTTTCAGAAACATACAGTAGAAAATGTTTAAAATGTTTGAGTAGGAAAGGATTTCTTTAAAATAGCATAGAAATGGCAACTGATAAGGAAAAACCTGACAATTTAGACTCTTGTAAAAATTCAAAAATTTTCTGTATGAGAAAAAGCACCATAAAGAAAGTGAAAAACATCCCTAAATTGGAAGAAATTTTAAATGTATGTGCCTAACCAGCAATTTTTAAATTTTTTTTAGCTTCTGTAAATAATGCTTAAAAATCAGTTAGAAAAAGACAAGCAATTAAAATTTAGCAAAAATAAATGAGGTCAGGACTTCCCTGCTTGTGCAGTGGTTAAGAATCCACCTGCCAAAGCAGGGGACACAGGCTCAAGGCCTGGTCTGGGAAGATCCCACATGCTGCAGAGCAACTAAGCCCTTGCACCACAACTACTGAGCCTGTGCTCTACAGCCTGCGAGCTGCAAAGAATTCAGAATAATGATAGTAAAGATGATCCAAAATCTTGGATATAGAATAGACAAAATGCAAGAAACATTTAACAAGGACCTAGAAGAACTAAAGAGGAAACAAGCAACTATGAGCAACACAATAAATGAAATTAAAAACACTCTAGAAGGGATCAATAGCAGAATAACTAAGGCAGAAGAACAG